TGTGTGTGTGTTTGTGTTTTCCACTAATAAAAACTAAAGTTTATTTTTAAATAGTCTCACCTGTGGACATTGTTAAAAATCCTATTTCTGAACCTGATCCTGTGAGATTCCAATCCAGTAAGTCTGTAGTGAGACTCAGGAATCTGAACTTTTAACTAGAACCTAAGTAAATTTGGAAGCACATGATACTTTGAGAAACATCACTCAGATCCCTGAAATTATATATAAAATATTGTAGGAGTGTGCAATTTGGAGTCCATAATTTTCAGATTATCTTTCATGCCTCAAACCCAAAAAGTTTAAAAGTTACTTTTCTCTGCCTCTTGCCTGCCTGCCTGCCTCCCTTCTAGTAATATAATTGGGATTCCATTTATCATGTAAGGTCAAAAGCAGAGCTAAGTTGTAGTGAGTTAAACATTTTATAAAACTCATTAAGTGACAGACTAGAAAGCATTGGTTAAATTTTCGTCCATCTCTTAGTATATTGCCACAGTGAATACCAGTGCATTACTATTTGAATCGTAATGAATGTAAATCTAGTGGCTTGAAAAAGTTAATGTGACTCCTTAGCACTTAGCATGATGTTGACCTACCCTGTAGTTAAATTTTACTCGGTTAAAAAAAATGTTCATATGTGGTCATCCAATGGTATCTCCAATGGTATGACAGTGCCACAGAAATAGTGAGTGCCACACTCCAGCTAGAAAAACTTAATGCAGGTATTTTGACAATCTTGTACCTTTAGTCAACATTTTTGTAATTTTATAGTGCAAGCCAGCCTTTCTCAAACTTTATCAGTCTTTTAAGAATTGTTTTTGTCTCTATAAACATTCCTGGAGTTTATGAGATGTGGTTTGGATGAAACTAGATGGCAAAATGTGATTTTATTTTTGTTATGAAATTACCAAAATTGAAGGTACTAAATTTTGATTTATATGCTTTTTTTTTTTTTTAAGACCAGTCAAATGCAGTAGTGAAAAGGGGGAAAGAGTAGACTAAGGAGTTCAATCTGTAACTAACTGTGAACATTGATTCTACTTTTTTCTAACTTCATCATTAAGAATTTGGAGAAATTAACTTATAGTGAAAATAAAAGATATAAAACATTTCAAAGGAAGATACATCACATTCATCAGCACCAACCAGTAGCTAACAATATTTGTTGAATTAACAATAACATATAGCATGGCCACTATCAGTATTTAAGCTGATTATGCACTAATTCTCATATCAAAGGTCCCTCATTCATATATCAAGGCATCTCTGACATACTTAGATTGGCACACCATTTCTTAAAAATAATAGCATGCTCATCAATAACTCCAGGCCTTATTCTAAGCATCTTCCTTATATATATCTCATTTAGCCCTAGCAGCATCCCTGTGAGGACACTAGTAGTATTGTTCTCATTTTACAGGTGAGAAAACTGGTGCACAAAGTTAAGTAGCTGTGTGCCACTAATATACAGCCAAGCAGTGATTTGAACCCATCAATCTGGCCCCAGAATCTGTCCTGTTCACTACATTCCCACAAAGTCAATAATTGCAGAACAATCACAGAAACAATTATACCAGTATATATCGTAATTTCTCATATATAGATTTTTTTTAAAGGATGCATTTTAAAAGAAAAATATCACCCCCAAAATGTTTTTTTTCCCACAGAACAATTATCAACCAACATCTTTTGGCACCCTTGTTTCTCAGAGAACATATTTTCTGAAGTGATAGCTTAAGTAATAATTTGAAATTTCCATTTCTGTCCTTCCTCTTTGGCTATGGTTCTGTCCAGTCCCTTCTGAATTTTCTTGCCTCTCCTGAGCTGTTTCTCTTCCAAGAGTTAGTAAGGAGACACCTTCATGCAACTCTCTGGCTGTTCAAAGTGCTTTTACAAACGTGCACTTCCCTTTCCTCATGCCCCCAATTAAATGCTTATTCTTTGAGCTACATTTCTTAATTATTTTCTAATCAAGATGTAGATGTGATCTGTCCCTAATGTACATTTCATTTTAAAAAAAATTATTAAACCATGTTACATCACTGTAAAAAAAATGTAGTGAAATCTAAATATCGCAAGAATTTAACAGCCAGAGATTTCTTTAACAGCCAGAGATTTTCTGTCATTCTTTGATATCCTTGAATTCCTATTTCTACTCCACTTCTCCCTCATGATTTTTATCTTATTGTAAAACATTTTTTTACTCTTCAAAGTATCTGATTTGATTATGCTCTAATAAAATATATATATAAATTTAATTTATTTCCTGGGTTAATAAAGGCCCTATTCAAATATTTTATCATTTTAATTTTTAGTATTAAAAATTGATCAATATAATTTGTAATTCTTAAACATAAAAAATAAAATTGCATTGTAAATGCATTTCTCAATAACAGAGCTAGATTCAATTTATTTTATGAAGATTACTCATTACAGGAATGAGACAAGCTCAACATTAATTTACATTTTATTTGTTTTATAGTTGTAAATGCTAAGAAATCTTATTTACATAAATAAGTAGATGAGAATGGAAGGAGTTTTGTAACAACGTTATAATTTTTTTTATTCCAAAATATATTTTTAAAATCACCATCTTCTGTCATCAAAAGTTAGACTGATGTCTAGCATGTGAAAAACTCTTTTTCTTTTTTTTTGGCAGCTGGCTGGTAAGGGATTTGAATCCTTGACCTTGGTGTTATCAGCACCACACTCTACCAAATGAGCTAATCAGCCAACCCAAATTTTTATTTTTAATTTACAATAACTGTATTTATGGGGTACAATATAATGTTTTGAGATATGTATACATCGTAGAATGTTTATATCAATTTATCCATTGCCTCACATTCCTATTTTTTTTTTGTAGTTAGAACATTTAAAATCTATTCTTTTTGCGATTTTGACCCATACATGTATTACTACTAACTATGGTCTCTCTGCTGTGCCATACAGCTTGAAAACTTATTCCTCCTGTCTAAGTGAAACTTTGTACCCTTTGGTGTACAAATCTTCCCATTCCCCACCCCACCCCAGCTCCTTAACGAGTAACCACATTCTATTCTCTGCTTCTGTGAGTTTGACTTTTTTAGATTCCATATACTCCTATAAGTGAGTGTGTGCAGTATTTGTCTTTCTGCGCCTGGTTTATTTCACTTAGTGTAATGTCTTCCAGGCTCATCCATGTTGTCATAAATGACATAAACTTGTCAAGTTTAAAAAATTTGAGGGCTGGTCCATTAGCTTAGTTGGTTACAGTGTGGTGTTAATAACACCAAGATCCAGGGTTCCATCCCTGTACCAGCTAGCCAGCTGCAAATAAAAAATACATATATAAAAAAATTGAGTTGATTATATGCATATGCAATAAGCACTTTTTTTTTCCCTGCTAGCATTGTAAAACAGCTCTAAATCTTCAAATTCTATTAACTTCTTTTCTGTACATATTGAGCTTATGAGTCAGTTTAAACACTTGGGAAAATTGCATTTGGACAACAGTATTGAAATGGAATTACAAGATATTCATTGAATAATGAATGTGTATGAATTGTTCATTGTAACTTTGGAGAGCCAGAGAATGAAATTAGACACGTAATAGTTTATTGCATTGTATTTTTTTTTGTTTAATATTTCTTGGAATCTAATTAGTCAAACACAAATGTTTAGGTTTTTTTGTTTGTTTTTTAATAAAGAAAATTAAATTTATTGCTTACAGTTTCTGAGGCTGGAAAGTCCAAAGTCCAAGGAACACACCTGGTAAATGTGGCTTCAGTGATGGCAGAGTATCACATTGCAAAAATGGTGGAGCAGAAGGAGCAGAGAGAAAGACAGACTCTCCTCTTCTTTTAAAGCCCTCAGAACCTTGCTCCTGAGCACCATTTTTTTATTATTTTATTTTCTTATTAGCACATTCATTATTACAGATCATACTTATTCTTTAAGCCCCTTATCGAATGTCTCCCTCCCTCCCCCTTCCCCCTGTAATAACCATAGATTTGTTCTTTCCATCTGATAGATTAACCCTATCCTCTGACAAAAGCTTACATTTTGAACATGAATCTAGATTTTTTAAAATGATTGCTGTGATGAAATAGCTGGTTTATTAGGGAAGTTACTAAAAACATGTTTGGTAAAATTTTCTTCTGGAACAGATTTTAGAAAGGAATTCTTCAGTTATCTTTGAAAGGTATACATAATTCTGTATTCATTTTTTAAGTACTGAAGGGTAATAGGAAAAATAGGAAAAATGGGAAATGTTTTATATGCTAATCAGAAAAAAGACACTCCCAAGGGCCGCCGGTGGCTCGCTTGGAAGAGTGTGGTGCTGATAACACCAAGGCCAAGGGTTCGGATCCCTACATAGGGACAGCCGGGGAGCTCACTTGGGAGAGTGTGGTGCTGATTAACACCAAGTCAAGGGTTAAGATCCCCTTACCGGTCATCTTTAAAAAAAAAAGAAAAAGAAAAAAAGACTCTCTTTTAGGTGCATTTGAGAATGCAGTGTATGAAGTGTCCAAATATAATTGCTTTTTGTGACATTTTCTTGATGTATAGGCATCACTAACAATGAATTTGCTAAAATATGTAGAAATATTTTAATACATGATTACAGAAATAGTATTTTTAGAATCTCCTTGAATGATGTACATTAAAAATCCGTTTGTTGGGAAAATTTTTTGAGTTGGGAAATTTATTAAAGTACATTGAGTTTTAGATTAACTTTGGCATATTTGTTATTGTTCCAATACCAAACCTTCTGATCCAGGAACCCGTAAGTCTCCACTTTTGCAAGCCTTGTTTCGTGTCCCACAATATAGTTATCTCTTCGTGGGTTTCACATATTTCTTTTTGAATTCAAGACAACTTAACATCTTGGCTACTTTAAATGCGTTCTTTTTTTATTTCTCCTCCCTCTATCCTTTGTTTCCTTCCTTCTTTTTATTTTCTTTTTCTCTTGTCATTCCAAATAGATTGTAAACTCTTGCAGGATTGGGCATGGATTGCCCTTATAACGTCCTAAGTGCCTAGGATAAAGCTATGCTAAACTGGTTGCTAAGGAAAGAAATACTTGAATAAATAAATGAGTGAAAGGCTTGATTCATAAACTAGAAATGCTACAGAAAGAATCTGGAGGATATGCTGGGAAAAGCCTCAAAAGAATTGTAATCCCTCAAAAATGGATGATAAATTGTGGTTTGGTTATGCCACATGGCAGATCTAAAGAGATCAAATGACCTGGATATTAGATAAATTTTCCCAGTGAGGATTCACTCAGAGAAGATCCAAAGGAGATAAATGTAATAAATGTATGTTTCTGGTTTCCTCAGACTTTGAGAAAAATGTCAAAGTTTTTCTACCTGTGAATGGTTGTTTTAAAATACAGGTATCATCAGGTCACTCCTCTGTTCACAATACACCAGTGCTCTTCCCATTTCCTTAGAGTAAAAGCCAAAGTCCTAAAAGTGACTTAAAAGACCCTACATGTGCTGTTCCACCAGTTCCCTGACATATCTCACAGTGTTCTCCCCCCTCACTTATTCCACTCCACCCATGCCGGCCTTCCTATTTCTAGCCCATACCTTGCATTCCTCTCAGCTGAGGCCTTAGTATTTGGTATTCTGCTTGGGCTGTTCTTCCCTGGACATCAGCACAGCTCACGTCCTCACCTCCTTCCGGTTATGCCTTTTCAGTGAGTCCTTTTTTGACCACCCTCGTTAAAACTACATTTCCCTAGAAGTAGAATTGATGGGTTAAAGGGCATAGCATTTGTGTTTTGATAAGTATAAGCACACGTGTTTCCCCATAGCCTAGCTATTAACTTTTGTTCTGTTTTTTGTTTTTTGCAGGCTGGCTGGTATGGGGATCTGACCCCTTGGGCTTGGTGTTTTCAGCACCAGCTCCAGCCAAGTGAACTAAGTGGCCAACCCGATGCTATTAACTTTTGAATTTTTGACAATCACAGTGTAGTTTTAATTTGCAATTCTTATGAGGGAGTTCGAATACTAGTATAATAATCATTCGTATTTCCATTTCTGAAAACTGTAAGCTTATATCTCTCACTCACTTTTCTAAGGATGTTAGTGTTTCTTTTATTTAGTTACAGAAGCTCTTTTGTACATTAGAGAAATGAGCACATGGTCTGTGATATGAGCTTGAATATAATTTTCCCAGTTTGTCATTTGTCTTTGACTTTATTTATGGTGAGTTTTTCTATGCAGAATTTTTAAAAATTGGAAACAATATTTTCTTTTATCAGTTCTGAATATTGTGTCATACTTTTTTTTTTTTTTTTGGTAGCTGTCTGGTGAAGGGATCCAAACCCTGGACCTTGGTGTTATCAGCACCACACTCTAACCAACTGAGCTAACCAGCCAGCCAGTATCATGTCATACTTTAAAAGGCCTCTTCTACCTGAGAAATACACTTTCTTTAAATCAAACTTTTTTTTTTTTACATTTATATCTTTTGTCTATCTGGAATTCATTTTGATACATGGTGTGAGATATACTTCCATCTTTTCCCAAATGGCTATTCATTTGTCCCAACGCTGTCGATTGGATGCTCCATATTTTCTCCATTGACATGAAATGTCATCTGGGAGATTCTTAAGCAGAATATAATGGTCTTGGGCTGAAGTTGAGGTAACAATGTTTTCTCTTTGTGAAACCTCTCCTGGCAGAGACCTCAAGCATGCCACTGAGAGCTGCAAACAAGTTAAACCTGTAATATGTTGAAAGCTCACACCCAGTACATGCACCTATAATGTCTCCAAATTGTAGCTTGAGATGTCGAGAGCACGTGATTCTCCTGTAGTTAGTTCCTCCACCCCACACACATTCTCTCTAATACTGTCAAAGGGCGGCAGGAAATAGTTGCATGTTTTTGGTTATTTTTTTTAACAGACTGACTCCATCTACATTCAAGGAAGACCAGACCTTATTATTTGTAAATCACTTTGGTGGATAGGAAAAGTGCTATTGCAATCACATTATCTTTTAGATTTTAAGCATGTTTCTGTCACTTCAGCATTCTAGGCTGAATACAGTTTTATTTCAATTAGTATAAATATATCCTTCTGAGCTGAACTAGCTATGAAACCAAGCCACTGGGTGTGGACTATGAGGAGGAAGTTTTGGGGGATGGGATGAAATTTTCAGAATTGGCAATATCATATGAGACCATTAAAGGTGGTTCACTGGCCATCTATCTACATGTACTGGGATTTTTTTTTTTTTTTTTTGGGCAGCTGGCCAGTACAGGAATTGAACCCTGGACCTGGACCTTGGTGTTATCAATGCCATGCTCTAACCAAGCTAACCGGCTAGCCTAGGATGCTTTTAAAACTAGGACACACATCTATTGTTCAATGGTTAAGTATATTGATAATGATGACACTAAGGTACTGTGAAATCCTGCTGAAGTCTTTGAAATAAATTCCCACTCATCAAAAGTGATAATGAGAAATACAATTTAAGTTTTAAGGTTATTTGGCTGTACTCTTTAGTGGAAATGCTTAGTGGTTAGGGGTTTTGTTCAAGATACAGACAGGATGAGTTTAATCTCTATTCTACTTTTTATCTGAATGACTTTGAGCAAGTTACTTAACCTCCGTGAGCCTTAATTTTGTCTTAATGTAAGACGATAATAATTGCAGTATCAACTGTTATAGGGATTAGTGAGAAAATCCATATGAAGCATAAATCCTGTATTAGTCTGTTTCTGTTGCTTATAACAAA